CCCTGACATTCTGTGATTCTGTGATTCTTCTTTAGTGAAAAACCTATCCTGCAAATTAAAACATTAGCAGACTTTTCACTTTGAATGGATTGGTGCTGAAAGGCCGACAGGACTGTATGTCAATTCGCTCTTAAAGACTAAGGACTCACAACTGAATAAGGAAAATGAAACCACAAACCTTTTAGTTTCCACTTCAACTTGAAAAAGAACTAGGAATTGTTCAGCAACAAAGTTGTGGAATGCCTAAAGAGCTGGAAAGCCAGAATTCACACAATATTTCTAACTATAAGGCATTTTATTCGCACAAAGTCCTGGAATTTGAATTTTACCTTATTCTTTTGTTTAATTTTTCAGTTTTGGAAAAAACAGAACAAAATAAGCTTGCTTTTCACTAGATGTTATGTTTGGCTTCATAGATGAGAGAGGGAAAAAAATAGTGTTTTTTTTACAATAGTCCAGAATATTTACAGTAGAACATAAGTGTAAGACACATAGATACCTCTCTCAGAAACATCTCTGCTGACAAATCCTGCTATAGCATGAACAACTAATTCTTGTTTATGAGAGCATTTAGAAAACTCTCTTCTTGAGAGTTTGTCTCCTCAAAGATTGTCGCAAATACAGAGATAATGTAGGATCATTTAGTCATGGGACTTCAGCAGTAAAAAATTTTCTGTGATTCTGGTAATAGTGAATATTGAACTAGCCTCAGATCAGATGCTCTGTTTACATGAAGGAAGTAATTTCTTGTCAAAGAAAATTTTATTCAAATTGGAAATTTTATTGTGCAAATTTACATTATAATCAGAGGAAATGAGGATAAATATAGCTGATACTCTGAATAGCTACAAACTCCTATACAAAGGTTCATGGGATACTTCTCTATTTTTAGCCTTTCATGAATCTGTGATTTTTTCCACATAAAAATTTTGTAGGCTTTTGACTACAGCAAGTTGCTTTCCAAGACATTTATTTCTACTCTCTTTAGTCCTATTTACCCAGTTTTCTGTGCTTACATGTCTTGTGATAAAGGTTCCGTTCATCTTGTCATTCTTGAGCCTTCTAAAAATTAAATGGCAAGACTAACTTTGCTCCCCAGCCTCCTTCAGTGCTGAGAAAGAGAAACTCTCTGTATCTTTCCAACAGCTGTCTAGTCAAGCAGCTGAGACCAGATGTGAACCTTTACATCTTTTCAAGCTTTGGTGGGATAGTGATTCGCATTCCAATATCCAGGACAGACGATCCAAATTCACTTTGAAGTTGTTTCTGGGAGAATTAATCACTCTCCAGAGTAATTTGCTCATTTTCTGTTTCTGTTCGTTTGTTTGTTTGTTGTTTTTTTTCTTGGTTCTCTTTTGGTAGTGTCACTGAATTGTGAAAGTATCAAAAATTGTACAAATTTCTTGAGGACTGTCTTGGAGGCTTTAGCACTAAGCAAGACAGCAGCTTTTTCTGCTTCTGTAACTGTCATGCATGCGTGGTTGTGTAGATCTTCTCTTTTAGAGAAGGTGCTCACATCTATATATACTCTTTAGTCACCTTGTTCTGTTGTCCTCAAACACATTATATTGTTCAGAATAATCTGAATAAGAGGACAAAGGTTTTGGTGGAGTAGTAGAAGGTGAAACTACTCTTCAAGAAATGAGCTGCATGCATCTGTAAGGTTAGGCGGCTGCTCTGTGCCCACTGGCATCTCAGAAAATCTAGTGAGTGTATGGACCTGAAGCATATTTAGATTTCTGCGTAAGGCAACTGTCTTTTGTTCTGACTTCTCCTGAGAAAGTACGTTCTCTGTACATCAGTAAGATTGTGGCAAATTAGTATCTTGGAAAAATTCCATATTTCCCTTCTTGTTGTAAACAACTGTATTTTCATGTAGGTCTGTGCTGATGTTCTTAGGTAAAGAATGACCTCCTAGACATTTTCCGTTGGATTAGAATTTGGATTCTCTTCTAGTTTGAATGTTTATTCTTTAACAATCGTTAGTTATCCACTGTGCCCAAGCACATGTCATTTAAACAGCATTGATTTTCATTGTCCTTAGTGTCATGGCAAATTACTGTCCATGTCAAAGATTTACAACTGTTCTGTGCACATTTTTCTATTGATTCCTAACAAGGCTCAACAGCAAAAAGAAACTTAAACAGGAAGCCAACTTGTTTGTATAAAGTATTACTTCTAAATAATCATAGGAGGTTTTAAATCACAGAAGATGAGCATATGCTCGTGATTAACACTTGCAGTTTTGAAACTGCACTCCTGTAAGAGCAGAAAATTCACAAGAGTAAATTCCTGTAATCAAACTTCCATTACTCTAAATTGCTCAGTTAATCTTCTACCTCTGACTCTCTTTATTTTTTTTTCCTCTTTCCTAGGCACATGTGTATGTGGGGAATGCACGTGCCATGATGTGGATCCAACTGGCGACTGGGGAGATATTCATGGAGATACTTGCGAGTGCGATGAAAGAAACTGCAAAGCAGTATATGACAGATACTCCGATGACTTCTGTTCAGGTAAGGAATATGTATGAAAGAAACTTATGTGTAGTTTTATAAGAAAAGCATCCAATTAATCTAATCTTGCTCTTCCTTAGTGCTCCAGTTCTAATTTTCCTAGCAGAAAATATAACAAGCTTTAGTTGTTTTCTTTTGAGACTGGACTTTTTAAATTAAAAGACACTTCTGAAGAAAAAAAAATTCAAATTCTAAAGAAATGCCTTTTTTTCTATGCCTTTTAATAACATCATGTCAATATTAATTACTTTAGGTGCTCATCTCCCTTCTAAAACTCTTGTGTTGAGTGTAACTTAAGATCTCTTTCGTCTAACCTAATGTCCCCTTTCCTGGAGACTTTCAAAACCCAACTGGATGTGTTCCTGTGTGGCCTGCCCTAGGTGATCCTGCCTTGCAGGGAAGTTGGACTAGATGACCTCTAGAGGTCCCTTCCAACCCTGGACATTCTATTTTTTCTATGATTCTATAAATTGGAGAATAGTTGAAACTTTAAAATATATATATATCCTAATTTAGAGAATCTGTTATGTCATGTTACTTGGCAGGGAGAGGACAAGCCAGAGGAAGAAAATCAAGGAAAAGTGAATTAATGAGTTAATGAAAAAGAGTACCCTGAGAATACTAATTGACCTGACAATAAGTAGAGGATCACTATGTGGAAAATAGGAAAGCGTGATCCGGCTACACATCACTGACTGCACATCTTAGACACTTTCACTTTCCTTTTTTCTTCTACTTGTACTTCAGAATATTATACTCTAATTAGTTAAGGTCCATCCAGCCATCTGAGATTTGCATTGTATTTAGACTGATGCTTCATGTTTTAACTAACAAAAGTTGAGATTTTGAGTGAGACTTGGCATACGATTTTGTATAGCTGCTGATAAAGATGGTAATACTGAGCAGGAGAGAAGAATTTTGATCAAAACACAGCATGCAGTTTATACACACAGAAACTTTACCAAACAAAATGAGGGTGGTTTTGCAGTGACTTGACAGATTACAAGTTGTCAGCTCTAATGCATCCTGTAGAAATCTGATCCCGCCTAATTAATAATAGCAAGATTGCTGTCACATCAAGGAAAAGAATGATGTATATTCTTCTCTTATTATTAGACTGAGAGATCCATCATAGAAAGATCATAGGAGTTGTCTGTAACAGGGAGAGACCATAGAACCATTAAGGTTGGAAAGGACCTCTAAGATCATCTAGTCCAACTGTCAACCCGATACTATCTAATCAACAAAAATGTTAGTACTACTTCTTATTCTTATCCCTTCCCATTATATTTTAGAAAAGCCTAATTTAGTCCTAGCCAGCCATCTGAGTAGGCATTCTTCAAGTAGATGGTGCAAAAAATATGTTTTCATGTGAAGCAGTGTGAACAATGTCTTATAGTTCTGCTGTTTAGTTTTGTTTCAGAAATGGACAAGATCACAAGTATTAATTTTGATTTATTGTGGTAAACAGAATCTGCAATTAAATAAAATGTTTACTAGTAGAATTATAAATAGGCAGTTGTGGTTTTTTATGCAAAATAAATTTACTTAGTGCACAAAGTGTGCACGTGTTAGGTGTGTCTCCAAAATACCCTATTTTTTCTCACAATTATTTGTAAATTGATTTAGGGTGGATCTAAATGGGATTAATCAGATTAGGGAATATAATCCATCTCCCTTAAAGCCTACATCAGATGGAGCTGATACAAAATTTTTTGTGTTTTATTCCGTCTGTCTAATAGGTGGAGACAGGAAATCAGATTGTCCTGAGTAGCAGATTGAAATAATAGGAAATCATGTTTACGTGTAAAGAGTTTTACTGTAACTGAATGAAGTGCTGTGTTTATTTCATAAACAACAAGTAACGGGAATTGACAGCCCTGTTGTGAGGATGTAACATCACACAACAGCAGCTCCTTCCAGAAGCTTCATAAGACTCTGGGTCATTGTCAATTTGTAGAACCTCATATTGGCAACTGGATGATTTCTTTAAACTTCTGAAGTGCGATTCAGTATGTTAATGAATGATTTTCTTTCGGAGGTGTTCACAACATTAAAATGATTTTCTTCCTTTAAAGACAGTATAGCTTTCATGACTTGATATAGAAAGGAGTCATCCTAAGAAAATTCCTACATTCACACATCCCATTAGCTCCTTTACTAATAAAGAAAATACTGTATGAAAGAACATCACCCTCTGCATCAGGGAGCACATGTCCTACTCGCAGGCTTTTAGCAGGTACACATAAAAACAAGGGACAGAATCATAGAGTGGTTTAGGTTAGAAGGGCCTTAAAGATCATCTAGTTCCAACCCCCCTGCCATGGGCAGGGGTACCTCCCTCTAGACCAGGTTGCTCAAAGCCCCATCCAGCCTGGCCTTGAACACTCCGAGGGGGGGGGGCTTCCATACGTTCTCTGGGCAACCTGTTCCTGTGCCTTAGTACCCTCATCATAAAATATTTCTTCCTAATATCTAATCTGAATCTACCCTCTAAACAAAGGGAAGGTTTTAATGCCTTTGAAGGAAAAATAACTAACGTAAATAAAAGGTATTCTTGTGAAATTATTAAGACTTGCATTCTGGGAACTACTCGTATAACGTATCGAATGCTTGTTCCCTCCCGTTTTCTCCTTGTGAACCAATAAATGCGTGTTTTCTAAACATAATAACAGCTACTATTAAAATGCAAGTACAGTTAGAAAGAGATATAAAATCTCTGTTGCTATGGTTTTCAAGAAGAACCTTGATAGACAAGTGGACATCAGAGCAATGCTTTGGGGCCTTGTGTCTAGTGAAGGATGACTATGTGAAAATTCTGAGAGAAGGTCTAACCTTCTGTTGGAGATCATGAAAATAATATGTGATTTTTGCAGCACAGAATGTTTTTGCTAATACTCAAGCTTTCCTCATCCAGTGCAAGAAACATTTTTAATTGCTAGAATCCCACTGCTTTATGCAAAGAGCATTGGGCTCATGAGGAAGGAAGGGAGGTGGGCAATTAGCTTAGCATTTCTTGGTCTGGATATGTTAGCAATCATAGAGAGGAAATAAATTGTTTGCTTTCCAGGAAGGATTCATCCCTAACTTCTTGGCTGTCACATTTATTTAAGAAACTCTCCAGAAAAGCTTCTGTGGAATTCAATTGCTTTTCCTCAAATCAACTTGCACAGTGAAAGTTGTATTTATGTTACTGTGTTCAGAGATGGTAAGGAAGAGTCAAGTTAGCTAGTGAGACACCAAAACCACATCTAGCTGAGTTATTGAAAAGAGAATTATGTCCAGTACTTTATTATCTCCACATCACTATTTAGTAGAAGACACTGTCTTGAGACTTGGAATTGGTGTGATACTGCTTGTATCTAGTGGGTCACATGGACTGCAAGTAGATGAAAGATGATACTGATACATTAGAAAACATGCTGCAACTGTGGTAGGAAAAGAATATAAAGGTAAATTAAGTATTGCCCCAGTTTTATAGACAGTGGTAAAACGTGTATTTTAACCTCTACTCTAGTCTTGAAAGAGCAGCACGTGCTAAGTGGCAAAAACATCCCTTAAGAAAAAATATTAAAAGGAGATACAGCTCAAATGGAGTGATAGACCAGTGCTATTTTCAGAAAAAAAAAGTAGGTACAGTGAATTGATTGTATTTTTTGCCAAACTACAACTTTGATAAAGTTCATCTAATCATGAGAATTTAATACCTCTCATCAGTATGGAGGCTAATCTTTAATTCTATTCATTGTAAAGGTCATGGACAGTGTAATTGTGGAAGGTGTGACTGTAAAGAAGGGTGGACTGGGAAGAAGTGTGAACATCCACATTCTTGTCCAATGTCAGTTGAGGAAAGTGCTAAGAAATGTCAAGGAAATTCCAATTTACCTTGCTCTGGAAGAGGTAAGCACATTTCTGGAAGAATTTTCATGCCCTTAAAATGTATTTCCATTAAAAGAATTTTTACAGATGTCCATCATTACAGTACTGAAAAATGTGAACTTTCTTGGCTTACACTGCATGAATCACATCTGCATAACTTGTGACTTATGAGAAGGGAGGGGGGGAATAAAAGGTCACCTGTTTTTCCTGTCATCTACTGCCTTGTATTTTATTTTACATATCTCAACATTTGTTTTGGAGGTTTTCAAGGATTCTTTGAATATTGCTGCAGTTGAGTCTTTACTAAAGACACATTTAAAATATGAACTATTCTGCGCCTTCTTTGACAAAGCCAGCACGAGATTTTCAGTTTGTGTGAAATGTTTTGGCACAATTGTGGTAAGAGCAGTTTGTATTTACATTGCCTAAGAACCTGACGTAGTGAGTGCAGGACTGACTTCTAAAATGCAGTTTTCTTCACTGCAGTTTGCTAGTTAGCCACTGGCTTTTCATTTCTTTGTATCATTGTAGCTTTTCAAAAGCTTTGTCTGAAAAAATATACTAAGTCATACATGCAATTGAAATACATATTGAAAACAAAATGAAACTTTTCTCAGAAGGAAAAAGACCTGCTAGTTCTCATCTGTCACTGAGTGAAATGTGCTTTTCTGCAGAGGGAAATTAATATGAGACAGACTTTTGCTAGAACTGGTAATTGAAGTTGTTATGAATTCTGCCCACTTAAGTATTTGCAGGGAAAGGTCTAAAGCTACTCTGGAATTATTACATTTGACTCTAAATGTCATTTCATTTGCAATTTCTTCTTTTACTAATACTATCTAACATAGTCAAAAATTGTAGGCTGTCCACCCAAGTTAGCACTGTGATAATTATATTTTCTCCACTGTAAATGTGTAGCAGCTCTTAACTTAGTAAATGCAGCATTAGCTGTATCTTAAAAGAATTAGGTATTAACAAATTGTTGCTTGCTTTTTTCTTGCTTAAGCTACAGTTTTCCAGTGAAATACATTTCTCTTCTCTTGCTAAAAATTCTCAAAGGAATTATTCGAATACAATTATTAGAATCTCTATTAGAAATAGAGAATGTATGAACAATGCAAACTAAGAGAATTGTCACATCCAGATTTTGAGAATTCTATGTTCCTGTAACTATGTC